ATGCTATACAGCTCATTTATCTCTATTCGTTGAAATGATTACAGGTAAAATTTTGAGCTGGTTTTGAGAAAGTCTTATTTTTAAAATTACGTTTACTTCGTCTAAAATCACACAAACACAACTGATATTTTGAATAATTTGTACATAACCTAACTTAAAAGTCTAAATGTTAGAGTATATTTTATTGAATAATATTTGTAACTTCAATATTGTTGTTGAAGGACAACGCCGAAAAAATTAAACTTTTGCAATTTGCATAAATTTGACCTGCGCCATTTTATAAGCTTTCTTTGCTCTGAGAAAAATGTAGAGAAAAAATTTGAAGACATTTTTGAAAAAATGTTGAATATATTAAGACTTTATGTAAAGAACTCCCATTCCCGGATCACAATATCCTTTGAAATTCTCAGGACCTCGAGCTCGTCCAAATTGATCGAGGAATATCAGTTTTGGTGAAAATTTTGCCCACAGTTCAGCCGCTCGGGTCGGTCACAGTCGGACGAACGGACAGACTTTTTCTTAACTTTTTCAGACTTAAAGCACTGACGACTTCTAATCTTGCGCCACCGCCAATGTGCGCGTTCGTAGGTAAATGGGAAAAGAAATGTATTTGTTTTCATACTGTACTGTTATATCGACTTAACGCATTGCTAGGAAAGAAAAGTTGTAGGGAAGTCTTAACCTCCAATGTGAAGGATTTAACAATCCGCCTTTCGTTAACAACTACCAAAACAATTGAGATGAAGATACAAATGGCGTATGATTACGTTTAATCCAAGAAACTGTATTTTTGGGTTACATGGGTTTTTCTTGTAAGAAGAGTGCATATGAAAAGAATTGAATGACACACTGTTGGTGACACAAAAGATTACATCACGGTCGGTTGTGATGTTAATAACCGCCACAGGATCGGATTAAGGTAAAAAATAGTATTTTCATACGAGACTAAGCCTTGACACAATATAATTTTCAAGCATTATCCTTATCAACCATTACATTAGCTACCACATCAAATACCATATATCTTGTATTTTGCGGATATCTAGTTTCTACATCATCATCACAATATTCACAGAGGCACAAACCAAGAAATTGCCCTTTTTTAAAAATATAAATGGAAATGGCGGTGAATAGGAATAACGAAACAACGAAAACAAAACACATAATTTCAATGTGAAAAATAAAAACATATTTATTTAAGGAATTTAATGTATCGGACTTTCTAACAAAAATATGTAGGAGAAAAGTGGATACAGTGAGACTCAAAAATCGGAATATAAATTACACAGGGAATAAATATAATATCCCATTTTTTGTTCTACGCATGGCATACGTAAGGGTCTGAAAACGTTCATTGATTTACCATAAATCAATTGTCAATGTAAAAATTGAAAATTTGAAATTATCTCACTATGTCCCTGAGAATCTAATGGTAGGAACAGTGAGTCAGCACTGGTGGGAATGATGAGACATTGTCATAAATCCTAACGAACATCATAAGAACCAAAATCTAATGGAAATGAAATAGATTATTGTTTTTTAGTCTTCCCACGTGTTGTAGGATTAGGCAAAAGCTTTTTATCCATTCTTTATCAATACAAAATGGCACGAATAACAAATTTATTCTCTAGCTTCAAACTTTTGCTTCAATAATAACTTCATATTCAAACGAATTCATTTACAGACAGAATTTTCCCTACATAATGTATTCTGGTTTTTGTGTTGAAGTCCACTAAAGCATATTCACCTATGATCGATGGTCTCTCAATGTTTTTGACGTCAACAAACTCAAGTTCAGGATCTAAATGGAGCAGATCGTAATCATCTGATTAATCTTGCAAAATCATTTAACCGTCATCACCTTCACTGCCATCTTCAAACAAATAACCTATAATTTTCTTTAGATTAAATAATGAAATTCGGTCATTACTTTAGGTATTACTGAAAGAATAACTGCTCAAACTAAGTAACAATTTTATTTTCTTACCTCTGAACATTGAATTATTTTTGACTAAGTATTTTTTGACAAAGTACTGCACACTTTGTGAAGTTAAGAAAAATTATCTCTATACAACCTCAGTGCATGTAAAGGAAAATTTTGATGGCGTTAAGTTTTGAGCAGTCTACTGTTCACTGAAACAGATTCACCAACGAAAAGAACTCCAATTTCATATAATAATACTTATTTTCTTTATACCTGTTTGGTCCTACTGCATACAGCTTTGGAGAATTAGTTGCAATCCAATATTCAAATAATCTTAGTATTTCAGTCTAAAATATTAAGAAACATTGCCGATGCCCCCAGGAATGTTCGAAACGATGGCTCACACTGGTTTTAAAATGCCAACAGTTGAAGTAAAATAATATAGTTGTAAATAGATTCAAAAATTGCATATCCATACTAATACTTTTATCATAAATCTTTTATTATATATCATATTATTTAAGTGAATGGACAGCTTGTAAATAAACTTTTAATTACAAAAAATTCAGTATCCTTTCTTTTTACATTATACACACACAACCACATTATATATTCTCTCTCACTATAAAACATTCAAATTGCTTCACTGTTTACCCTTTGAAAATGTTAATATTATTTACATATTAATAATTACTTTTTTAAAAAGTTCTTCTCAGTGTATTACAGTTTTCCGTATTTCAAGACGTATGCCTTACTTGTAACGAATATTATATACAAGTACACCGCGCACCAAACACACAAATGATACATGTAGAGGCGAGTTCTCTTCGTACGAGAGTTCACAGCCTCCTGGCCCCGTTCCTCTCGAACAATATCGTCTGTATCTCTTAAAGTTTTGTATGGAATATCGCAATAGATAAATTTCTTTTATAGCTTCTTTAAGACGCTCATTCTTGTTCCAAATTGTTGTTGCCGTAAAATAGTTTACTTTGAATTCCTCTGTGATTAGTGACAGTCATAACTCGCTTCATTCAAACGGCAAAAAATTAATTTCTTCTTCTCCAAGGTGAGCGTATCTCGAGTGCACTAGGCAATGACCAGCAACAACAAACACAGATACACCACAACATAAAAATGTATACAAGATAAAAAGCATAATGTAAAGAGAAAGCGTTTCTTTAAATCGTGTGTTCTGACAACTGAATTTTACGAAGTAATTTTTAAACTTTCGTCTCCATAACCGATCGAGTCGCAATTTCAAGTCATAACAACTTGCACTGTCGTTAAATTACATAATATACACTCAATAAAACTTTCAGGATATCATAGGTTCAACGACTGTTTGCGGCTGTTAAAAATGATTCTTAATAGCGATCGTTGTCGCTATAAATTAAATTCAATCACTTAATTATAGGTACGCCATTTTCTTTAAATCCAAAAAATGTATTAGTTGTACAGCTGATGTACAACTGATGTTGATGAGGATAAAAATTTAACAGCTGATTTTAAGGAATATTTTTATTTAAATAACATTTTAATTAATACCTAACTTTTTCTCTGGGGGTAAACTAAATAAAATCAATGAGCCATGTATTGTCATTTAGGAATTTTCGTACCATACAATTATTATTTAAAAGATAGTTGTAACCATTAACTTGCGGTCATAAATAAATACAGACTTTCAAAACTTTTATGTCACATGGATTTTCAATATCTTATCAAGTTTTTAAAAATAGTATCTTTAAAACGTTTTTTACTTTTTAAAGTAAAAAAATAAATAAAATATAACAAAAATTATTTAATAATTACTATATGTTTAATGTAAAAATATAAGTTGAATTAAAAAGTATTCATTCATAATTTTCATTCATTTGTCAGAAGATTCAAAACCTATACATCTTGTGTTTTCTGCATGATGGGAACACACACATTTCTGTCCTAAGCATGTGAGGAAAATCCTCAAGAATGTTTTATTTTATTTCTCAAGCGCGTCAATCGAAAATATGTAATCTTAGATTTATAAGACCCAAGGAAGGCTTATAAATCGACGGCCAGTGCCCTGGAGCCAAATTCAAATGCGAAATCTATTGTGTGTCAACAAATAGGTACAAACATACTAGTTCCCTTGACTTGTTCCGTAGGCGAAAAGTATGATTAGTTTTTTACTGATACGTTATTGCTTATTACTGCCTTTGATATGACGCTTGATATACACTACATAACTTACCTGGCACTTACCTTACGATAGAAATATGAAAACAGTTGAATGATGCTACATGTTTCCTTACTGAAGGAATTAGGAGAGGGAATTATCGGAAGGAAATATGAAACGCCATCAGAGACAAGTTACCATCTAGTTAATTAGTAAAGAAGTAAATCTGTATCATTAAAATTATGTAAAAAACACAATCTTGTGTAGCGTCTTGTCCCGTTACAAACGGAGACAAACGTGGCACTCGGCGGGCATCGCCGGATGTTGAACAAAGAGCGGAGTGATAACGCACTGGGACTTTCCGTGGACGTAGCGTGGCCAGAGCGGCGGTTGAGAGGAGGCAATGGGGGCGGCGGGTAGCGTCAAAGGGCCTTTAAGACCAGGAGAACAATGCCCCAGTCTTCTTGTTCTAGCGGCGTCGGCGACAGGTGATGCGCGTGTCTGTGCGTGTAGGTGCACTAGGGCGAAGGGCCGGCAATTCATTGTCGTGACTTGGGAGACGCGTAGATGGTCTCAAGGTAGTGTGGTGCTTCACGCCGGGAACATCGGTAGTATGTTGCGGTGTGGTAACCGTTCGTAAATTCTCTCTCCTTGTAGTGGGTCAATTTATTTAGTTTATTGTGATCAGGGTAGTTGTTTAATTGAAACTACGGACTTGATAGTGAAAAATTATACTGTTTTACAAACCACTCTCGTCTGTGTTCCGATTACACCCACATGACGCCAGACTTTTATGTACCACGGGCGTTAAGGGCCAAAGACCCTCAGGTTTTTTGTCGCCTCTCGATCATTAGATGTGCTTGATGCCAAAATAACAGACTATTGGACGGCGTTGCCGTGAGGATCCATTGATGTGTTGCAGCGCTGGCGAGCGCGCTGGCCGTGCTGTGGCTGGCGGCGCCGCCCACCGCCCGCGCCTCCCCGTCCTTCATGCGCGCGGCTTCGCTGCGAGGCCGCGCCACGCTGGCGCGCGGGTCGGACGTGCTGCGCGAGGTGCCGCTCATCGACGGGTGAGCCTCTGCGCCTGCGCGCGACCGCTACAAGCAGCCCCCGGGCTCAGCCACGCCCACCCTCCAGCCACGCCCACCCTCCAGCCAGCGCCCTCGCTCCGCCACGCCCGCGCTTCGCAGCCACGCCACCTCAGCCACGCCACCCTCCAGCCAGCGCCCCACCCTTCAAGACACGCCCACCCTCACTGCCACGCCCGCGCTCACAGCCACGCCAACCCTCCAGCCACGCCACCTTCCTGCCACGTCCAACCCTCACAGCGCACGTCCGCGCGCCCAGCACATCCACCTGCGCAGCACACCGCGCTCACAGCCACGCCCACCTTCCCAGCCACGAACACTCCAGCCACTCCAGCCACTCTTACGCTCCAGTCACGCTTACGATCAAGTCACACCTCCGCTCTCACCACGCCCCCGCCTCAACCATGTCCACGCTACCGCCACACCCCCTCAAAGCCCATTTTCGGGCTGCGCTCACACTCGTCACCCCCAGCTCCAGGCAAGCATACGCTCCAGCCAAGCCCGCGTTCCTGCCTCGCCCACGCTCCAGCCATGCTTACGCTCCATCTACGCCTACGCTCCAGCCATGCTTACGCTCCAGCCACGCCCACGCTCCAGCCACTCCCATGCTCCTCTAACGTCCTCGCTCCAGCCACTCCCATGCTCCTCTAACGTCCTCGTTCCAGGCACGCCCACGCTCCAGCCACGCTTACTCTCCAGTCCTGCCTCGCCCACGCTCCAGCCACGCTCCATCCACGCCCACGCGTCAGCAACGCCCACGCTCCAGCCATGTTCACGTGTCAGTATCGCTCACGCTCCAGCCACTCCTACGCTCCACTAACGTCCTCGTTCCAGGCACGCCCCCTTTCCAGTCACACTGACGCTCTTCCCACGCCCATGCCCACGTTCTAGCCACGCTTACGCTCCGGCAGCGCCCACGCTCCAGCTTACGGTTCAGCCACGCTCACGTTCTAGCCACGCCCACGATCCAGCCACGCTTACGCTCTAGCCACGCCCGTGCTCCTTGCCACGTCCCCGCTCCAGCGACGCCAACGATGCAGCCACGCCCACGAAATGTGCGGAAAGTGCTGGGGTTAGGGTCCCGTCGGTGCAGGATTTTCGACACTAGCCAGAGAGCTAGGTCGAGTTCTGTCGCTGTCTGGAGGAGAATTGTAGCAGCAGGCTGCTCTGATTGGTAGTATTGCGTGGTTTCTCCAATCAACACCAGGTGAATGCCAAAACAGTATTCTACCAAACAGCTATGGACTGCGCGCGATATTTCCTTCACATTTCTTGTCATATCCTCACCCCTTACACACACTCTTGTATGCTATATATTACCATACAGCCCGGGAGAGCGGGTGGGAGCTTACAACTTCGGCTGGGTCGTTCCCCTCTGGTGGGAGATACCTGGTTAGGGAAAACCCCGCTAGCCTAAGGCAGGACGGTGCCGCATATCGCCATCCAGGCGAGTTCACCGCCACCGCGTCCGGGGTCACTAATAATCAATCAATCAATCAATCAATCAATCAATCAATCATGTGACTGTGTTCCCGCAGGCACAACGACCTGCCGTACAACCTGCGCATCCTGCTGCAGAACAAGGTGTCGCAGTTCGACTTCAAGGCCAACCTGAGCGCGGACCCGGTGTGGAGCTGCAACAGCTGCTTCACCGACCTGCCGCGCCTGCGAGCGGGGCGCGTCGGCGGGCAGGTGAGCCGTGACGCGCACGCGCACGCGCCGGTCGAAGGCACGCACGCGCGGGTTTCGGCGACGCGCGCCCGCCGCCCGCTCGCCCGCGATCACCCGCGTGGAACGGCCACATGCGCGCCTCATTAAGGCTTCGCAACGCCAGACCACACAATTGCCACACATGGCTCCACGCATTCGGCATTCGCCGAGTGGCTAGTAGCTGCTGTGATTGGCGAGTGTTTTTGTCTCCTTTGACGTGTGGAAGAGATCGACACGCGCTGGGTAGGGCGAGCACCGAATGTTCGTTGCGAAGTTCATTTACAACGGTATGCTAACAATTGAATATCGCACCCCATTCACGAGTTGTTGTGAACGTCATATTGAAACACGTATTCTTATAGATTTATAATAATATACTCTTTTTTCGACGAATGTAAAAGAAAATTAATATAATATTAAGCACAACTAGAAATATCTAATATATAAAAAAAGCAATGTTTTGTTGTTTGTTTGTTCGTTCGTACTTAATGTGCTGCCGTACCGTTCATCCGTTCGCGACAAAACATTGTCAACGTATTTCTTGCACTTTTGAGAAGAATATAGGGATTCTACGATGGAAATGTGTATATCCTTGCGTACGTTGACGCGCTTTGATGAAAATGTTATGCTGACTCAAGCACCGCTCAGCAGGGCGCTCTACGTGACCCGCAGCACCTAAAGTATTAAGAGTGTCTGCCCCCGCGATTGTGAAATAACGCCCGGCAGAGACAGGTACAGAGAGAGGGGGAGACAGAGGCTGACATAGATGCAGAGAGCAAAAGAAACAATAAGTCAGGAAGACGGAGACAGAAGGATAGGAACAATGAGAGAAACGGAGAGAGAAAAGGAGAGGGAGCGATAAAGAGAGAGAGAGATGGAGGGCATGACAACGTCTGCCGGGTTCCGTTAGTTTATTATAATTATTAACAATGTGTGATACAAATGATTTTAATAAGAACTAAGGACATTTATTAAAAACGTTAACCCAATATTTTACAATTCTTCATACTAACGCCAAATCAATAAAACAAGAAATTCGTTATTGTTGAAATAAACCTATTCAGTGTCCAGCTGTTGATCAACGAATTATAAAATGGAATTAAAAAAATACACTGAGGCCGTCATAGATAAAATATTGAAATATACACGTTTGAATGATTTCATAATGAAACGGATCGCGCCTTTGTATCACGAGCCGTAGATTGAGAGGTGTAAACGCGATACGAGTTTCATCAGGGTGTCCATATCAGACTTGTTTCTTTAATAATTATAACAATTTGCCGTCCGTTAAGAACAAACGAAAAAAGACTTAATTTATAGACTTCCGTTTCAGTCTATAAATTTTAACCGCATGTGTTATTTGCCGTTCAACGCCCTAGTGTCGTTAATACCTAAAACAGTGGTATGTCCAGCCAAACGAGATCACTCTGCTCAAATCAACAAACGCACTACCGATTTACGCCTATTTAAACTCCGCATGCGAAATAAAATAGAGTTTTGTTACATCAAGCGCCATGGCCCCATCTGCGCCAATTGCAGAATCGAGTAATCGTTTCGCTCATCTACAAAACGACGCTAAAATAAGCCACGCAGGGAGGATGGTTGAAGACATTTACACAATTATAGAATAACATGCTTTTGCTGCAATCTGTTGTGCAAAAATATCTCTCCCAGAACCGATTTGAAGATGTTTCGCGCCTGAATGAGAGTATGTATGTGTTATTGCGTTACTCCTCAACGTCTGAAACAATTTCAACAAAACTTGATAATCGGTGGTTACCTCAAAAATCTTGTGGAAATCCGTGTGTGTAGAGAAAAAGAAATAGCTTACATAATAAAAATATATTTTCACTAAAAGCAAATCACATATGCATGTTTCGGGGCGTTTGTCTCATCATCAGTGCTCTCCAAGCAACGTGGTACAAAGCATGGCTTAAATTTGCAGACTTGCCGGCGCATATTGCGCTCAGATTGTATAGAGACATGTATGCGTGATCTATGTTAGTGTAAATACATTTTAATTGTGGAGAATTACTTTTGTTTGCCTATCCAAAACTTGATACATACAGGTATTATGTAAAATATGTAAAAACATACTTTGAGAATAAGACACCTGTATAACCTTTACGGATGGCGGAAATTTTAAAATTAAAACAATATACAACCCATAAAACATCTTATATTTGCGGATAACAGAGTGTAGTCACTTTTTCGAAAAGAACGTTGAAATTTTATGGATCCACTCACTCACGAGAACAAGAACTAAAATGTAAAAATTTGAGGAAATAAAATTGTCAGACTGTTTAAACAGTTTTTACTCCTACCAGTGAGCACTTGATGATGAATGGCGAAGAGCGTGGAATTGTGAACATGGCGAACACCAACTCTCTATAGATTAAGAAGCCAACTCTGCATTTACGTTAACTTTGAGGCGAAAATTCTTGCGCTTTCACGACTAAAGTTCGATAATTCCTACCATTAGAAACGAGACAACAAACAATGTCCTCATATGTACACGTAAGCTTCCACGACTCGAATCCATAAATTCTTGGCTATCCGGGAGATGTCGCAGGCTTCCTCAGGGCAGTGACTGCCCTGCCTTGAGGCAGCCTGCGACAATGTCAGGCGAAACATCGGCCTCTCGGCCAAAGGCGGCGACTCCCGGATAGCCAAAAGTTTATTAATGTCCTCGTATCACTATTGTGCTACCTATCATAAAGTATTTGTTTCCGTTCATTCCATTCGAATTCTGATATTCAAATATGCAATATTATACTATAACATCTATTATATTTAAGAGCTTCTGTTTCGCTGCTTCTAAGATGTTCAATGTTTGTAAGGAATACCTTAACTTCGGAATAACTGTATTTGAGGTGTTACACTTGAAAAAATTTCTCTTTTGATCTTGCTATGAATCTGTTTGATTTTATCACGCTACACAATTGCTGTCGCATATCCCGCCCTAACAAGATCTCACTTTCTCCCAACCAGACAGCTCGGATATTGATAACTGAGACCAACATCTGGAGGAGAAAGTGCCTAAGGGCAGTCTCCGCGCTAGAAACCCCGTACGCCAAATAAATAAATAAATAAATAAATAAATAAATAAATAAATAAATAAATAAATAAATAAATAAAAACTGCTAGCATGTCTAAAATTCCGAAGAGTAGTAATTTAATGCGTGGCTTTTCCAGTTCTGGGTGGCGTACGTGCCGTGCACCACGCAGTATAAGGACGCTGTGGAGATGACGCTGGAGCAGATCGACGTCATCAAGCGACTGGCGGCGGCCTATCCCAACGACCTGAGCCTCGTCACGAGCGCTGACGGTCAGTGGAACTCTCTCTCACCTATCACGAACGCCGGTACCCACCGGCGACGCTAAAGCCTGTACAGGACCTTGTTCTGGTACGATTCGAACCTCAGTATTGCCGAAGTCTCTTTTTCAACTCAGAGAATGGTGGATCGTTTGGATGTCGAAATGAGAATAGGAAAAGGGCAGCAAATGATTTCACAGGGTCCGCGTCCTGTTGTGTAAGAACTGCTTCGGCAACCGCCTAGTAATGACCGTAGGAAAATCGTGAATCGACCAATGTGAGATCTAAAATTGTCGTAACTGGTGAAGACATTTATCGACCATCAGGACTTTAGTGTAGAAGCTCCAGCTCCACGATGTTTAACATAAAGACTTGCAACGTAAATATATTAACTTATCCGCAAAATTTCGCATCCTTTGCGTAATTGCAAATATTTAAATTCAAAATCAATACTCTTTAGAGAGTATGTTCAATAACCTTGAACCTAATAAACAAATTAGGCGTGCTTGCAGCTGGAGAGCGAGTTGCTCCAGACAAAGAGTGCGCGAGTGTACGAGGTTGGAGCTGCAGCTAAGTGGTAACGCGAGAGAGAGAGGGAGAGGGAAAGAGAGAGAGAAAGGGGGGAGGAATGGAGGGACGTCAAACAAAAATTCATTTAGCGTACGACAGTAACTCTTAACCATTGTATCATCCTCTGTCCATTACTTTGTAAACAAAAATGAATCCATAAACAATTTATTTGGGCGCCAGTTACAAAATTTAATAACTTCAATTCGATTACAAGATATTTTAATTTTATTAATAGTTTTAAAAATAATTACAAACGGTAGACATACACCAGTTGAAGTAACAAATGAAAATCAAAAACTACGTCACAGCCCCGAGGCCCCGTCATGCCTTGTATCAAGACATCATCCACAAGCTTTAAAATACGTTTTAGGTTTGTTCACGAATGTTTTGAATTTAAACTTTGTTGGTTCCATCGTTGACATTTCATTGTTAAAATAATGAATATATTCTATTCACAAAATATGTTGCACAATATATAACTATGAAATAATTTTAATAAATTAAATAAAAATAATTAAAAATACGAGTAAATAGTAATATATACATAAAATATATATTTTGAATCATTCTTAAGACCATTCACAAAAATGTGTTGAAATATAATGGTTTTAGATATGTATAGTCCCTGGCCATATAAATGTGATTACTCTACATTTTCGTACAGATAAACAACGTACCGAAACAACTCGCAATTTTTCAAATGAAACAATTATTCTACAAGAATATTACGCAAGGCTTTCAGTCACAAAACCAACGACGCCTCCTACTCGACCAATGTTGCCTTTGAAAAGAAAATTGTTGGCACATATTCACGAAAGAGTTGCTACAACTGAAAAACATCAATTGAGATACATGTTGTATCTTAAAAACTAGGAGAAAGCACCCACCCACACAACACCCCCCCACCCCCACACATACACACACACACACACACCACACACACAACACACACCACACACATATATATATATATTATATTATATATATATATATATATATAATACAACACATATACATATATATAGTATATATATATATATATATATATAGTGATACATTAAGATGGTCCCAATATTATGGCCAGGGGCTGTAAATGGTAAGCGGGCGTGTTTCCCGTCGGGGCCGCGGGGTGACGCTTCGCGCGCCGTGTTGCAGGCATCGAGCGCGCCTTCAGCGAGGGCAAGATCGCCAGCCTGATCGCCGTGGAGGGCGGCCACTCCATCGACAGCCGCATGGGCGTGCTGCGCCTCTTCCAGGAGCTGGGCGTGCGCTACCTCACGCTCACGCACTCCTGCAACACGCCCTGGTACGCGCGCACGTCACGCAGTCACGCGCTCACTCACCCAAGGCCATGGAAAAGAGATTGATCGCCCGAATGACATTAGGGGAAACAGGCCAATCGCTCGACTCACCTCAAGGGAAACAGACCAACTGACTTTAGGGGAAACAGACCGTTGGGCCGACTCACCTTAGGGGAAACACAGATCACCGACTGCTGACTCATCCAAGGTATATCCTTAGAGAAAACAAACCGCTCATCCAACAGCTGATTCATACAGTACGTCATGAACGTCGATCCTTGGGAACAACAAATCGATCTTTGGTCTGCTGACTCCCGCAGTTCTCTGGATACTTAACGGTAACTTCCCGATTGCCCGGCTACTGACTCACTCGTCGACGAGTATTCTTTGGGGCAGCAGATCGATAGGTAGACTGAATACTCACCCAAGGTCCTGGATCTTTAGTGGGATCAAACCAATCACCCGATTGCTGACCCGCTTAAGGGCGAGGGTCCCTATAGATACCAGACCGTTTGCTTCAATGCTAATTCTCTTAAATCTAGTGTCCTGTCCCCTTTATTTTATACCAGTTGCTGGATTGTTGACGTACTAAAGAGCGAGAAGCTATCTGACTCAAGACCAAACGATTTCCTCTTCAGCTCGTCACTTAAAGCAAAGAGTATTACAGCCATATCCTTTCCTTTTATAAGGAAATTAATGTAAAATTCTCGTAAATCATTATTAAGTGAAGTTTAAGATTATTTTTTACATATTGGGTGAATATTAGCTGATATGCGAATGAGTTGCTATTTTTTGAGCAATGTTCAGGTTTATGGTAAATTAAGTAGTCAGGTCACACTAAAACTTAAATGAATTCGTAAGGATTACCGAATTTGCAAACGGTACCGGTAACGTAGAATTCAACCTCCACACCGTTCAGTGACTAATTCCGTGTGTGTGTGTGCAGGGCGGATGCCAGTCCTGAGGACGCCAAGCCCATCCCGGAGCACAACGGACTGACGCCCTTCGGAGAGGTAAGCGCGCTGGTGCCTTGCAGCTCCAATACGTTTTGGTGAGCGCAAGTAGTGACAGCTATCACCCCTCAAACCAAGGTTTGAACTTGTATTTGAATTTCGCGATCCAAAAACCATATTTTTGAATATGGACAAACAATGACAGCTTGCAAACTGTCAAAAGTATTGTACGCTGTTGTATTCATGTTCAACAGAGCCTAAAACAAATGTGGCAATTTAACTTAAAGTTACAATGGTGGAAAATCAGAAACTCATAATCATATGAGGCGTATTCACATAATACGTTTTTCATGGTCGTCAACAAAAATAAAACATAATTCATAGAAACATTAACATTATTGTAGCAGGTATTGCATATGTTGCACTACCTTTTTACATAATCGTCACCTGAATTGAGCCATTTGTCATACCGTAGGAGAAATGTTTTTGGCCCGCCTGGTCTAGGTACCAGCAACTTTACGTCACTGTGGTAAGCGCAATGCAGACTGGACAGGAACTTTTTTGAGGTGTAAGAAAATACGGAAATCGCTGAGAACAAAATTAGGCATATGTGAATGGTCATTCGGTCAGCCACACGTCTCAGCTCACAACAGATGTTTTGCAGCAGTTCCACTGGGAGGTGTTTGACCATCCATTCTATGGTCCGAATCAAGAAACCTGTACAAGAAATATTTTCCATAAAATGTGTTTTCTTTTTGGAGATGACTGAGGAAAACTTACTTTCATTATTGATTATTGACAGTTTTTCACCAGTGTATGCTCTATATGTTAGTGTCCGTTGAGTCACTCTATTTAAATCATACGATGAACCGGAGTCTAACTTGTATGCCGGTTTTCCAACTTTCTACTCTCCAATGACTCTATTATGGTCGAATGAGCCAGTCCATTCAAACCGCCAATTGATCTTACGCTATCCTCCAATACCTCTAGAGGATGTCCGTTTATTTTTTTCTCTGAATTTTCCTCCGTGTCCGTGTGTTTAAATCGGGCTTGTGTGTGTGTGTGTGTTCGCAGCGGGTGGTGCAGGAGCTGAACCGGCTGGGCATCATGGTGGACCTGTCGCACGTGTCGGCGCCCACCATGCGCGCCGCCCTGCGCGTGTCGCGCGCGCCTGTCATCTTCTCGCACTCGTCCTCGCGCACCGTCTGCAACCACCACCGCAACGTGCCCGACGACGTCCTGCGAGCCGTGGTGAGTCCGCCCGATTGGAAATCTTCATCTCAGTCATATATAAAAAACACGAGATTAAAAAAACACATGGGCTAAGCCATACATGAATTTTAAAAACAAATTTTTATATACAAAGCGTATACAAATATTTGTATAAATACTCGTTCTTTCGGAGGTGCAGCGCAAACCATTCACATAAATCTCGGCCTCTGAATGTGGTGATCAAAGAGTGTTCCCAGCTTTCCAATCCCCCTGCCTCTTATTCCAGAATTGCTCCGTCATCGCCCTTACTTTATCATTGTCACAAAACATCAAACTTTTCGCCCATTTCCCAATATATCCAAAGCCTTATGTACTTGTTTATTAATAAAGAAGAGTAAATTTGAAGAACAGTGCATCTAATGGGTGTATTCCGAACGCGAGAATTAAAGATTCTAGAGCGTGTGTTTTGTAGAACCTAAAATAGAATATAAAAAATATTACGAAATGAATATAAAATTCTAATTTTATAAATTATATTTTTACAAATTCTATTGGCAATGTTAATTGATAAAAATCCCAGTTTGGTCTTGTTGATGATAACTTCTTGATGATCTCCGATTTTACGAGGAAGATATGAGTAATAATATGAAGATGTAACTTCAGAATGGCATTTCAAACCTCCACAAATTTAGTCGTAATTGCCCATTAAATACATTGTCTTCACGAGCTATTAGAAGTTTACAATAGCATTACTTTTCATTGATTCTCTCTCGTCTTTTTCACCATTGCAATGTTTTCATTTTACTTCTTTAATTGATTGGTTGTAAAATCAGCATATTATTTGCTCAGAGATGTTGTACAGAAGTAAATTGTATGTTCAAGATTATAGTTTGTTATATTTATGTAATAATTTATAGTACAACGAAAATTATATCTGTGCCATTTTGATCGATCTATCAAAAGGAGAAAATTACAAACAATTTAGAGACATTTGTAAAATGAAAAATGTTGCTGCTTCCCGTACCAAACGATCGCAAATTCTAACTATACAACGTGTGTTACTGACGGACGTGACTTACTGCAAATAGGAACAAAAAGTATCCACTTTTTCGATATGCATATCAGATTCTCCGTCGACAATTTTTTACCACAGCACTTCAATACTTTTCTCAGTACTACTTAAGAAGTATGAGAGAAAGAAGAAAGTCACAATAGTTTAGATCACGTGATCTGGGATATCATAATCCATTACTGTAAACAGAGCTTAAACAGTGAATCGGACGTGGTTATATAAGAAGTTGCAGAAGCTGTTGAAAAATAAAGATAGTGTTTCCCTGGTATAAATTTCTCGAAGAATTGGATCAACGTTTTTATTTATATAAAAATCCGCTATAACAGTTTCTTGGAAAGCATTAATAAGACAGACCAATAAGAAAATATAACGGTTGTAAATTGCGTAATTAATTTCTTACAGCACTTTTCGACGGTCAAATATCTAACTAATGCGTCATAAAAACTATTATCTCATAAAAAGAAAATTCCATCTCTCCTGCGCTGGTGGAACGCTCGCGGGACTCTAGGACCGACTGAGGTGGCTTAGGGCATCAACTGACGTCACTGCAGTGCCTCTGACCGAGAGATCCTAGGAGTCGAATCTTAGCGATAGAAGGATTTTTCAAGACTAGTTAGCTAGGTCTAATTCAGCCGCTGTCTGAAGGAGAATTCTAGCGGGCGGCTGCTCTAAGAAGTAGTTTCCCGTGGTTTCTTCGATCAACACCAGGCGAATGCCTGAGCAGTACCCTAACAAACGGGCCACGTGTCACGCGCGATCTTTCCTTCTTCTTCCTTTCCCTAGCCTCATACCTCACTTACGTGCAATTAATCTTACAAACTCTACCCTATCACTCACGTCGGGAGCTTAGCGCGAGTCCCGGCTGGGGCGGTCCCTCGCTGCTGTTAGTTGGATAGGAAGCACCCCGCAAGCCAACGTGTGGGTCAAGACAAGATCTTTGGAGGAAGCGGTGTTGTTCCCTCGTCCCTTCCAGTGAAGGTCCAGCCTCCTCCACGGATAAAAACAAGCATTGCAATTAGAGACTAATTATCAAAGCCGTTGACGCATATTAATCAATTGAGACATTAATCGGGAACATTAATCAATCAATTGGGTCTAGGTAATAGATATTACGCTTCTCAAATTACACGCCGGCGGTACAGTGCAGGTTGCGCGGTCTACAGCAACCTACCGCTCGCCCCTCCGTGGCAGCACTTCATTATCGGCGACAGATGCAGCTCATCCAATGGAGCAGTGACGTAACAATAGGAAATGGAATTTACAACAGAAACTAAATTCTGAAATAAAATGATTTGATTGCAATGGGTTTTTTTACCTCAATATTCATTAAAATACTTCATTAAAAACCAACATTATGCCCCCGATAATAGTTATCGTGCCTTGTGCCTTGATCAAATGTTACTTCTTACCAAGATCTTCGTAAGTATCACTTATAGTAGATTTTTCCGCAATTATCTTTGCATTCACTTCCTTTCTTAAAATTGTTTCATTGTTTCCGTGAAATGTATGAACTTTTTGTCATACTTAACATGAGATGATTTTGATCAGTCAGTTAGGTAACAAGAAGCAAATGAGATAATAGTAATCGATTGAATATTTAACAAAAATGCCACAATTGAAATTTACGGCGTTATTCCACTATACATTGTCTGCTTTTCGCTTCACAGAATACCATAGAAGACACTAATTGGTACAATGTTCCACGAGTAACCAATAAGGGAGAGAGCTTCTTATACTACACCACACAATCAACTGATCCGTTGTTATTCTTCTCAAATGAGGTTATAATCACGAGACATTTCAACAACGTAACTTTCCCCATGGGATCCAGAATAAAATAACAATTCAATAGATATTTCCGCGAAGTATTAAGGTTCTGCAATATTTCTGACATATTTACGTTTTTTCGCACAATTTAGCAGTGTGGTCCTTGTTCCATTGGAGAAGCGATATATTGTGCGCCCTGTATTTTCCCTGTATATTCCGCCCTGTATTGCTTTATATATTGTCCGCCCTGTAAATTCATTTTTTGCATGTACGAGCGTAAGCCAGTTCAAAGAGCCTTCATTCCGTTGCACTCTGTATATTAAAAAATGAATAACACAATAGAGCAGATACGAGTTTTAAGGGACTTCTAACAACTCTCTAACGTGTCTACAACTAAACCGGCACTGCTATGGCTGTTCGCAGGCTCTAAACAATGGCGTGGTGATGGTGAATTTCTACTCGGGCTTCGTCGTGTGTGAGAATCGGCGCGCTACCCTGGAGGACGTCGTAGGTGAGTGACGTCCAGAGGATGCGTCATCGATGTTTTTACGTCTTCAAAACATTTATAGAGGGATCTAGGTTCAAATACTAGCATAGAGGCAAAAAAGAATATTCACTTACATTCCAATGTTTCTAAATTAACACAATTAGATAGAGTTTTACGTAAGAATCTCTGCTTACGTTAGTGACCTTATTTTGCCATTGCAATGAAGCAGATTTTCTGCATTGATAAGATATACGTAAATAAAAAATGCAAGGGGATGCTTTGTTAAAAAAACGTCAAGGCAAAAAGCCCTACTTTTAAAATGTTCTTTAGATTTTCTGTAAACATAAAGATTATCACCCTCTCACATATATTTGTAATGATAATATTTGTGAACTTAAATATTCTAACATGAATGCTTAGTATTATTAGAATTGTGATCCCAAATATCTCTATCTTCTGTTGTGTTGCAGACCACATTAACTACATTCGCATGGTTGCTGGAGTTGACCATGTAGGCATCGGAGCAGACTACGACGGCGTCAGCGAGTAAGTTTTCTCTCCCTAAAACATTTATCAAGCGCTAAATATTGGAGCGTCTATTCAGCTGTTAACGGGTGGTTTGTCCTTCAGTCAAAGCAGGCACTGAACCTGTGCCAAATATTCTTAAATGAAGAGAAAATGGAAAAAAATGACGGCACTGCTATTGGCTTTGCGATTGGAGTTTTGGGGAAATATTTCGTCGGTAGTATGCAGCCCTAAACAAAGTATTTGTTGAACCTGGACCGTAGATTCCAAGTTCCAAACTCCGCGTGCAAAGTAATAACTAGTCGTGCTACAGCAGTACAAACTTTCTCGTATATTTAATGACGGTTACAAAATATATTACTATATTTTATCTACTAAATCCTTTCTTGCTAGCGAACTTTACAGCCTTGAAACTATCCTAATCTTAGGAAGAGCGGGATATTAAAAAAACACATATTTAATTTTTGAAACATTCAAAAGGTTAAAGGAAAATAGCTCTTCACCATTGAATTCCGTGCATTGTGTTCTATTCTTACAAAATGTTTAGAAAAATTAGGACAATTTTTGAAAACATTTAAACTGGAAAGCTGAGAATCACGAGAAGAGCCATTTACAATACTACAATTAATTCTTAATGTTACGGTAATTCTAACACATAACTAGAAATTATCCAAAATTGAAAACTATGCAACAAATAGTTCAATATATCTAATACTGATAAAATACGTATTTCTAGTTTCAATATAGAAGGTTAAAACTATTCTAAAAAACTTAAACGTTTCCAATTTTCAAAATTTGATAAAAAGAGAGGATTTAACAAAACTCGAGTCTATGCTATATTACTAAATAAATTTTGCTCTATACGAATACAAATATGAAGATAAAGTTTGCGCTGTTTTTGAGAAAATCTTCTTTATTTATTTTATTGTTTTTGAAAATCCCACGAAAACTACTCACATTCATAATGTGTACGTGACATTGTTTAATGATTCAATTCTGAAGAATATCCACCTCCATACCACATGCTCGAGAAAGTATAAATAAACACTCAATCCAAAACATCCGAATATTCAACTCTTTAACCGAACATAATAACAAATTCATGAGGAAAATTCTTATTTCATTCGTGAATCATAGAACTGCATTTTCCCCTGACACTCTCAACCCCTTCAATATCTTTATGTTCCCGTTTAACCCCAGACCCCCTCGACCCTCTCGCTTTTCCCACCCCGTTGCCACCCATCTATTATGTTGAGCCCTCGCCGCCTCCACTTCTCCTCCGCCCTCAGCCTCCTTCGAACTCCTTCGATGCCCTCGAGCTCTTCCGCTCCCTTCGCCACCGCCGCCCCGTGCCCTGCGGTGCCCGCAGGGCGCAGTGGAGACCCCGCACACCGACTTGTAGGTCGGAGCCGGGTCTCGCGGGGGAATGGAACCCGCATTGCACTCACGGGACGAATGATCATAGCAACTGATGCGATCAATACCATCGTGAATACCAGGCTGCCGCGTAGTGCGCAGATATGTAAAGCACATAATCTTACGTAATTCAAATTGTGTTTTCAATCTCAGTCTTGATTTTAAAATTATTTCAAAAATTATTATTGTAACATTGTATCCATTTAACCTCTGATGTTATCTATTTTAAAGTTGCTTTAACTAACGTTTGCTTCCACTACTACTTACCACTTGTAGATTACATTTACATTTTAAATTTTAGATAACATTAATTTTAGTTACTTTACTATTACTACATTATCTGTATATTGTGACATTCGTTAGCCGGAAGACGGGCCTGACGCCCGAGCCTCGCATATTTAATAAAGCATATTATATTAATTATTATTATTATTATATTATTATATTATTATTATTATTTTTTTATCTCAAATTTTTTCGTTCACATGGATACCACACAGATACAATATCAGAGCATGGTAAACAGACATATTTAAAATCTACAAAAATAAAATTAAGGAATTCTAACACATAAACATAAAATCAACAGATCTGTGAACATAGATAATAGTTTTCAAATGACTAATAACAATACAATTTCAAGCAATGAGCTTTCAAAACCCAGCATGTCCTCCCATAAATCTCCGCTGACTAGTGAGCAGTGCTGATTATAACAACTTCTGCTAGGCCGATGATGAGCTCTTCTCCACAGACGAGTTCTCCAGCGGAATCTGCAGCGAGTTTTTGGTATACGACCAGTTGCTGATAGTACAATTGGATGTTTTCACTTCTGACACTCGCCATTGTTCTTAAACGGCAAATGACTATTCTCTGTATGTATGTCGATTTTAGTTCTGGTCTGTTGTCATCATGCTTGCTGCGTATTAACGACCACGGCAAGCATCAATAAACCAAACATCTTTTGCAGAATTTGTCCCAAAGGTAATATCAGGTCTGTTGTGCTGGGAATTGTCCTGCTGTGCAGAATCACTGCGGTCCCAGTATAAGTATGTGTCTCATTTTCTAGTACCGCTTCGCAGAATATGATATATGGTGCTATCCACTTTCTGAGGTAGCCTTGTGTTTTTAGCTAGCCTTGGAATGGATGAATGTAGGCCACTTGATCGTGTCCTCAGTTATAGTCAGTGGGAGCGAGGACACGCTACAGCCTGATATAATATGCTGAATGTTTCATGATCTCGACCACCACATGGCATTCATCAGTTAGCTTACTTCCTGGTCATTTCATGATAATTATTTAGGTAATTGCTTTGTCGGAATCAACCTGATCTTGTATTCTATCATAGCCTTACGCTCTCAGTGTACAAATATCTATACTGCCCAGCCATTTGTACGACATTTCATTGTCGACAGTTTGATGGCTCTGCAGCAGGATATGCACCGTGGAGTTGCTTTCGGTTTCCAGGAATCGATCTCTTGCTGCAAAGAGAGCTGATGAACTTGCATATCTTGTTTTAGATTGAGGCCGTGTAATTGTCCACTGCCCTGCCAAGTACCTTGTGATAGAGAAAGTGCCTGCCTTTTCTGCAACAATACTTCCTCATGGCATTAATCTGTTGCAATGGAGATTCGTGAACTTCACAATACCACCCCCTCCCATTTGTCGAGGCAGTGTGCCCCTCTGTATCGACTTAGGAGGATGACACGCGAAGCGTGTATTTGAACACTTACAAGTCTCTCCAATTTTCCCCTACTGTCGGTGGGTGAACCCCATTTAAGAATACCCCAGCGAGAAAGGTGGGAAATGAGGTATAGCAAAAGATAACAGTTAATGGCAGCGTGAAAGGTTTACGGGAGTGAAAGTGGGAAGTTTTAAGCACTGACTTTGAGTCGGTTTTGCATAAGACTCTGGTTTTATATGTAAATCCCCTCAGTTTGATGAATGTGGCCAATCTATATTTTCCTTGCTGACACCAGAGTATTTTGTAAGAGCTCATCCAGCCTCCTAGAGCAAGTGATTGTTTTTCATCAACCAGTCTCGTTGATGTGAAGCTAGCTAGTGAAGTTACACCTTTCATGTAAATTTGTTGTAATTATATTCATTTATCAATGCCCTTAGTTCCATATATGTCCCCGGATAAGTCTTCAGTAACTTTCATCTGAATTTTTAGACGCATCCGGGTACACAGAGTAAAGGAGTTTGGATCTGGTCGCATATACGCTAAATGGGCTATCTGCGAATCTTTCAGTGCCTCTCAGTTCGAAATCTTGGTTCTAATTTCAGGTCTTCTAGGAGTCGTGTAACGGGTTCATTGCTAATCATGAACCAGTATAGGGTAGCTAATCTCCTTGAAGATTCGCGCTTTTTATTTATTTCCATCGTAAATCATTGTTTCGTTTTTTCAAATGTGACACGAATTAGTTGTCTTCCATTGCACCATGAATAGGGATTTCAGGAAATTTTACGATTGTCTGAGTTCACACGATAATACGCGACACCACGTAAGGAGACCACATCATGCGAAAACCTATGTCCATAGCTTGTCTTCAATCAATGAAGCAGGTGAACAAGATTAGGCGTTTCTTCTAACATGCTTGAGAACATGACCACACTATCAATGAGAGTTGTGTTCTTACAGTCCAAGGAGCCTTGCTTGCATCCCTTTTGACATTCGGCTAAGATAGAATTTGCTACACAGTGTTCTCGCATTAACCATTGATAAACAACTTGTGAATTGACTTTGTATAAAGAATTGAGACGAAGTGATTGGTCTACTATTATTCGTAGGATCTGTAGTATCACTGGTTTTTGGCTTCATATATGTACACCTTCACACAGGAAGTGCGACATTTCTTCGAGATATTTCAGATAGTTGGTTATGAGATTAGAATTTTATCCATGAAGGCAGGTGAACTTTTTGAACAGTAGTTATGAAGACCGTCTGATCAGGGCATTTCAATTTTGAAGTTTCTGTACAACTGTTGTAGAATATTTAGGGTGATTGAACCGGTTCTCATTTCGGTGATATGTGCTGCTGCATTCCTGACCTTTTCTAGCCAAGTGCGTTGGCGTTGAAGTGACTTTCGTCGCCATATATTTTTACTCCAGGTCTCTTCAAAAATAGTTTCTCTGGTAAGCTGTTCACTTCTGTGTCTTTCATTCAACTTTCTGTAGAATCCTTTTGGCTCTGAGAAATCTCTGTTCTCTATCTTTACCGCTTTAGACTTTTGGTGTAACGTCTCATGCGTTGGCTGTAAACGCTGTAGTTTCTAGTTTTAGAGTATCTTATAAATTCAAGCAGATGACTATTATCAGGATTATGGGTGGTGTTCGCGATGTTTCTTCTATAATGACTTTTACTCTGTTTTTCAGATATTTACTTCTGTCTCCTCTTTGGAAGCTTCGAGTGTAAGCGATGTTGATCGGAGGCGGTCTATTCTCTTCTGTAGTCTGATTTTCCATGGAGGGTCTTTCTGATGTAGCTGCAGGAGTTCCGTTGTGGTGAATTTTCGATAATTTTACCACCATTTGCTCTCACTATTGCCACTGCATAAATATATTGGCAGAATCAAGGCTGTCATAGGTCGTAATGTGAGCGGTCTCTTTTAACAAAATTTATTCGTTTGCTATCTTAACTAGCAATGCCAGTTTCTTTGAGTTGTGTTGTTTCGGGACTCTTGGTCTACATTAGGATTTCATTCCCCATATTGAATATTTGCCAGCCGATATTGTGATTCGAGATTTTTCATATAGTTTGATTCTCTGAAAGTAGGATATATCGTCTGAAGGCGCTTCGTGCAGAGGGATGCCTGATGCTGGGTTTGAATTTGTGTGACGGGTATTATCTGGGGCCTTCTGTAATCCCTGTTTGCTCTAACTGTGCTTGCACTTCAGCTTTAATCTCATTTTTCTGTCGTTTGAAATATTTATCAGATTTATGGATTAAATGCTCTTCGGCCACGATATTTTTGCTCAGTGAGGTAGATAAAAGTGGGTACTGCTGCGGTAAAGCATCTACGTAATTCCTTGCCGATATCTATTACGAATTGAATCGCAACGGTAACGCGGATATATAACTGATGATGTCTTCATTCATTTTCGTTCGTCCACTGAACTCTCCGTCGTGCAGGCCTGACACAGTGGTCCCAAGTGAATGTCTGGGAAACACTGTGCTCAGGTGCAGCTGAAAGATCTTGAGTGCTTGCTTTCTTCGGCTGTAGTAATTTCGGGTATCCGGTGTGTGTCCGCCTGTTCACATACACAGCACCAACTGCGGCGCGCATGCTGTCACAGACGGCGCTAGCTCCATCTGTCCCTGGCGACCCCAGGCAGCGGCTCTGGTCCGAGGCAAATTTCCAATGATCTCTCCATTCCAAAATGGGTGTGGTCTGATAGGGCTGCTATCTCATAGCCTTTCCACCTGCCATCTTGTGTATTAACCCCACATGAAGGGTTGCTCCTTCCGCCCAGTTTTGGCCGTTAGAGACTTTGCCCATGTTACCCGGGCACGTGGCTCTCTTTATCAATCCGGAGAGACGGGTTCCTTCGAGCCATCTCGTGTCTTCAGCAGACTGCCTCTTCTGTATGTCCTCTTCTGCGTGTTGAGGTCCTCTTCTGGAGTACTTCTTCGTCTTACCCGCTCCCCTCGACCTGTCCGACTAGGGAACCCTACCAGTAGCTACGCTACCGCCGGCATAGCTCTCAGAGTCATTGAGGTCTCAAGCTCACCACCAACGTCAAGGTCATTACTCCCCAGGTGGAGTTGTTGTTATTATTATTATTATTATTATTATTATTATATATAATCTCCCAGGATGCCGGACGGCCTGGAGACGTGTCCCGCTACCCGACCTTCTTCGACGCCTCGCCAACCCTCTGCCCGGCGAGCCCACCTGGTCGCGGGAGGACCTCAAGAAGCTGGCCGGCCTCAACCTGCTGCGCGTCTTCCGCGACGTCGAGAAGGTACGAGCAAATCGCATTTATTCAATTCTATAACAGGCGTTCGGGAAATGATTGATATGGCGAGAGATCATCAATTGACACGTTTTCTTTCATTTTCTTTTTCCCGTTTACTTTCTAAGCCTCCAAACAGCTTTTAAGTAAATGCCCTGCATCTCGATTACATTTTTTGTCCGGTTTCACTTGGTCGATCGATCGCGTTCATTGGAACCAATCTCTATTGGGTTTTTCGTTGAATTGCTCTGGAATCAAGCAAATGAGCTGGGATTGCAATGGGATATAACAATAAATTCTTCTCTTTCCGAGTTTATTTAGTGTTAACTGTTTCTATCACGTTAAATGAATAAATAAAGCATTTTTTAAAATTAAACATTCTATATCGCAGGAGAAAGTACGAACGCTAAAGGCCGTTAAGAGGAACAGATTATAAAGTTTTGCGTTTTTTTCTGTCCACTCCGAAATTTAAATGCTCTTTACTTGGTTTAATCGCTGCAGCTGTTGGTTATCAGTGGACCTGCTTTGACCCTGGTCAATGGTGTCAATGTCGCCGGGGGCGGCCTCACCGCTCTGTTGAGGTTTGGGGAGGCCGAATGGCATCGACTCCGGCAAATGTTGAGTCAGTCGACCATGTTGACATTGCTGATATTGAAGCTCGAACAATTGTCGTAGAATGCAGTGATGATGTTTAATTAATTGTTCTATTGGCATATTACGCGCTATTTGCTCGTCAGTAGCATTTAGGTTGTTTTCGGTCGACATTTTACGTAGTGGCGATGGCCGAAGCCGTCACGTACTACGAAACCGTTTTAACAGTTGATTTTGGTTTCACTAGTCACTTTGCAAATACTGTTTAAATCAAACACTTTTAAGCAATTGTCCCTCATGGGGGCACATGTTAACCTCCTCACAAGACACACTTGCGGGCTCCTCTGACTGCGGTCCACTGGCTCACAAGGTCTTCCATGACAACACTCTTACATGAAAGACCAGAAACAAACAACCATGCCCATGGCGGGTCTCGAACTCGTGACCCTTTAGGCCGAGTCGGCACACGGTCTAGCAGTTTCGGCCATCCAGGTCGGGTTGTAATAGTTTTGTAATAGTTATAATAATTCATTTCTTCTCTTGCTGTAACAGCTTCCTCGATAACTTTTGCTTTGAAGTTGTGCTCCGAGGAGCAATGAGCAATGAGTGTGCTTATCGCAGGTGCGGGATCAGCTGCAGGCGGCTGGCATGGGGCCCGACGAGGAATGGCTGCCCACGATGGACTTGCTGTCGCACCCCACGCAGTGCCTCTCCATCTAGCGGCCACGCCCCCGACCCTCGCGCCGCACGACTACTCGCGTTCACAGCTCCTCGCGAAGCACGTCGAGCTTTGTTGCTTCGCAGATGTTGTAGCACCAGGTGCGCTTTGTCGTTATTAATAAAAGTTACGACAAAAATCTTTCGTTTTCTTATTCGCATTTCTCAATTATTTCCATTTTATAAAACTAAATAAATTTGTAGCCTGCCTCTCATGGGTTCCAAGCATTGCCCAACTATGAGCCGAGAAGAAGGCTGCAGATGAGTTCCTCTTAATGTTTTTCTCCCTATGAGCTTGAGGCATTGTTGGCTTTTCATACCACCCTGTAATCCATCTCATTTATATACCGTCCATAATAATCCATCTCTCATCATCATTTTCCACCCCAAAAGATTTCTCTACGATCTGACACGTGTAACATTTGATATTAAGTCCGCAACGGTGGCTAAAGATTATTTCTTCTCAGGGCAGCCAAATTATTAAACTATGAATCCGTCGCTTGATATGGCTATGCTTTCCTCACCCGCCAGTCTTTCTTCGTCGTCGAATAACTTTCGAAATTAAATAATTCTACGTCCTTGTGTTTTGTAAAAAGTTTTAAAATCTGTATTTGTAAATAGTGTAATTAAAAATTAGTGGTGCTTCTACAGCACATACTTTCTAGTATTATTTGTGACTTAAAACATGATTAAACAATCAGAGTTCAATAAAAATCAGACTTTCATCATTGTTATAAGCGTATTTTCTAGTATCCTATTAACAAATTAAGAAAAAGTTGTGATTCGTTCATGAGAAAATCATGAACGAATTGAAATTGCCTTTATTTCATACAAACGTTTGCGAAAACTTTTCATGTATTGAAACTAGTGGTGCTACATATGGCACAGACTTTATCGTATTCGTTTTCTATTTTTCTTTGGCCTGGGCTAGGTATTCGGACTTGCTACATACTCTTGCCAGATGCCATTTATCGCCGCCCAAAGTACATTTATTTGAAATTTTCTCAATTTTTATGTTTCTTAATAGTTGTACTAATATATTACATTAAGAATATTATAGAAGAGTAAAACCTCGTCCTACAGGAATATTTTCGTTGCTATATTTGGAGCGGTTTTTATGAAAATGGTGTTTGTGCGTTACTGTCAATGCGAAATTTGAATCTCCTTTTCACGGAAAACTATTGAGTTTTCGAAAAAGTTATTGAAAAGCATTTGAAGTCCTTCCAATCACTAATTTAATAATGTACACAAATATCTGGAAATGTGCAAATTTAAGGCGTGAGAGATATCGTGCGAGAATCACTTGTTTCGCACCCTTGTTACGTAAATTGCTATTAGAATATTATTTATTCCTCCGGCAATGCTGCAGGCAGTGTGATTTTTTTAGATAGTTGCCAAAGAATTCTCCAAGTTAGTCAATAAACAAATAAAATCTCCCCCATGTAACACAAGCAATTCAGCTTCTCCGTAACAATTAACTTGTCTTGTTTTCAACCTCAAATGCTTTCTGTGACCGTGAGTAACCAAATTTACAAAAATCACTCGTGGTACTAACGACATTGGTGTAGTGCCTTTTTATTACAACTAACTTGAATTCAGTAGGAGTCAACCGTGAATCAAACTCCCCATGTGTTGGCACGTATTCGCCATAGTAAACTTTTTGTAGCTGAAGTTGGCATCACCTGCATTTGTTTTTCGTTAAATTCGAAGCTGCGGAGTTCGCAACGAGCAATGCGGGCTCAGGCGAGCGTATTATAGTTGGCAAGTATTCAATGCATTTTGGTGCAATACTTTCATCGCATTATTTTTTTATGTTTAAACCATGCATTTGGTACTATTCCAGGTAAGTGTGGCAAAGTTGCGCATAAAAATCTCGTTAAAAAACGAATATTAACCAAACAGCAAGACGTAATGTGCTTACTGTATTTTGGTATTTGAAAGTAAAATATGAAAACGAAAGTGGCCAATGTGGACTTCGAACTTTAATGTGAAGAACCATATTTATTTGAGGTAAGATGTTTATGAAATATAGTAAATCTTAAATTTTTGCATTAAGGGTGAGATTCTTGCTGCACTAATCTTACTTCACTATTAGTAGTACTTTCATGAACTTCATCAAATTCTTTGTTAAAAACTAAGCATGTGGACTCAGATGCTTGTGGTAACTGAACATTTTTGAATTTATATTGTTGGGTCTAATATTGAAGTCACGACTGAATCAATTAAGATTACAAATGTCTCCAGAGCAACTTACTATATACCCACTTCTTAGTATGCTTTAAACACTAAAGTCGGTACTGAAAGATAATGAGGAGGAAAAACCTGTGGTTAATGGTAATGACCCCAAAGAGAAACAATAACTTTTTAGAGACCAGGTAGATTTTGGGAAGGATTTTCATTAATCCACCAAAAAGCTCATGTAGGTAATGCTTAACGTATGGGTGTGTATATTTGTACTTCGTATGAGGTTACAATGTATATTTTATAAAAGCATCATCTTTGTACAGAATACTGAAGAAAATGAATTTTGATTGAAAAAAAGAGATACTGTGAGTAGTTAGAAGATTTATTGGGGTAGTTGGCATAATGATGAAACCAGGTTTGATGTTTTGTGATTTTATATTTATTGTGCAACATTTAATTAAAATTGGCCTAGAAATTCAAGAACAATTCAATATTACACCCCAATTCACTGTAAAGTGAATTACCCCATAATTTTTCAATTATTATATACTGTATTCAACATATATAAACAAGAATTTATCTTTGACAGCAAAAGAAAGATATGTATGTTTTTTATAGGGAAAAATGTGTAATTATTAAGCAGCAATACGTTTTGGAAACCTAACAGAAAATTGAAGTCTGATTACCTGAAATCAGTGTTTTTTCTAGATGAAAAATTGATATGTCAATGGTGTAGCATATTGTTGAAATTATTTAAAATTGCTTGCGGTCAACCATGTAAATACGTTCCTTTATCAAACATGTCATCTTTTTTTCCAGAGTAATCCACATGTTGATAGATGAAACGAGGCAGTCAAGAAAGAGCATTTATATTTAACGGATATGACTTGCACAAAAATGAATGCTAGTATATAATGAGAATAAAGATTTCTTGTTGAATCTGATCAGAAATTTTAAAATGTATCGTAAGTAAAATAAATTGAATACTGCTAATGTTTTCTGCTAAATGTGGAAGTGAAAGAAAAACACATATATTATCCAGATATATATAAATTTAGAATATTAGAATTCTTGCTGGTGATAAATTTTAGTAATTCTGAATCCCAGTGGCAGAGGGCACTATGAATAATTTCTGGTAAAGTGGGACATTTTAACACATTTAATCAAATTTATTTCCTTTTTCTGTTGGTATGGAGAAATATGTTCAAAAGACAAATGAGGCTAGAAACAGTCAAACCAAATTCATAACCATTTTCTTACACAAAAAAAAATTGGAACTGCTAAATAGAGAAATGCATCAATTGCCTTTTACCTTTGATGTACTGTTAGTCAAAAATCTTAATTTTCAATGGAAGAAAATGTATTAATTTTTGACAGTTCTTCATATTTACCTACATGTGTTCCATTAGTTCAGGAAGTCTTGAGAATAAATTGAATATGTAATTACCTGTATGCTTATGATATATTATATTGATTGGTTTGAGTCTGATGATAAATATAGATCAAACTGTACAATTGTATGATCTCCACTATTCATTTCATTTACATTTGAAGCAAATTCTGAATTAATTTTAAACTTTCTGTGCCCATGTCAAAGATATACTGAATTTGATAAAGTTTATTTAAATAATGGAGCGAATGTAATTTCACAATATGTAAAATTTAGTTTGCATATTGCATTGTCTCACTCAACTTAGTGACCAAAATGTCATGGGCTTAATTTTTCACTTTCAAAAGTTCAATTTAATATGTACATACTTGTAAAAATATTCTGAATTAGTTAATTTTGGTTTTTTGAAATTTATTATTCAGATAATCCTCATGATTAAGATATTTTGTATTGGTTCCAAATAGTCAGCAGATCTATATAGATGTCATGCAGTATCATCAAATCTAAGAACTTATAAAATCTGTTCCTACTTATTGTATGTCTGAACACTTTTTCGGTTTCTTTAATTCTCCGTAATAATTTTATTCCTTCAATTTTCAATGTATGTATATACACATATGATAATCACAACACACAAAGATCTTCTTAACCCAACCTTCCACGTAAAAACATATTCACCTTCTGTTTTTGTTAATTTACATTAAAAAAAATATATTAAGAAAAAACATCTAATGCAAATTCTGTATCATCTGTTTCTCACTTTGCATAAGTGCTTGGTCCTGCAGCACTATGCGAGAACTATGTTCTGATAATGTCTCTGTGGTTGATGGTCTGGGACTGAGTGCCTCTCTGCATTTTTTGAATAATATTTGTTGACTGATACGTTCTGGAATATTTTAATTCATTTTTCACCTTTGTTACTTCAGTCAAATGCAGCATTATTGAGAATCGACTTATCTACTTCACCATCACTATCTGATGGCATGTAGTATCACTATCGTGCGAGTTCCAATCTATGTCACTGACATTTTTACGCTGACATTTTTACACTGACATTAAGTTCAATTTCTTTGTATAAAATCTAGCTTTTCTTTCTCATTATGACTTATTGTCAGACACTGATTTAAAAGTGTTAGAGTAATACAATACACAATAAATTAAAATTACTTGTTAAAAGCGAATAAAGGAACATTCAGTTTGTGTGTCATAACAACACAAAATTATTTAGTGAAACTCAATTGTTGTATTCACTTCTTTCTAAACGTGTGTGTGTGTGTGGGTGGGTTTTTTCTTCTTCTTTTTTTTTTCTTTTCTTCCCCCCNNNNCCCCCAACATTAAGTCTTGTGTTTACCTGTAATAAGAATTCAGTTCCTCTTACTGTAATTTGTTGTAATAAAGACTTAAGAAAGTTAGGTCTAGTTAATCCAAA